GAAAACCCTCTGAAAACCAAGTAGAAGTTACCCTCTGTAAAGGACACTTAGATTTACATTTGTAAGGGAAAGCCTCCTCTGTAAGGGCGTCTCCCTTGTTGAACCAGGAAAAAGAAAAGGTCTCTAAATCTCTAGAAACTGTTATCAATAGAGAAAGTGTGGACTGAGGTCTGCATAATAACCTTACACTTGTTTACTTTGCTCGTCTTGGTGATCTCCCATGACTGATTCTTTATTTCCAACATCATTTGTCTTTAGCTGAAGGTGGTATTTAAGGTGATGATTTGTGCCATTTTGGCAGTTACTTAGTTTTCCTGGGTCTCTTCTATGTGTGGATGGAAAAAGGGGCACTGTAATAAATCTAACCGAAAGTAACCTCACAGGGTGATCTGATCGTAAATTCCTAACTAGGCAGGTATTGGTTGGTAGTCATGCCCCAGGCCTATAAAAGGTTTATCTGTATCTTTAGCAAGGCTTGTCCAGTGTCTTTGTGCATCTAGGTTACTACCTTTGAAATGCCTCTTTTTCAGAGTCCTTGGAAGTGCAATCACTTTCAGGAGAGCACATAGTCTTGTTAACTATCTCGTAATCTAATTGTAGAGATTTCCCTGGCTTGTTTTCTCTCAACTTCTTGAAATTGTCCTTGCATTCTCTCCTTAATTCCAAATGTATAATAGAAACTGCAAAACTGTCATTCTCTGGAGCGTTCGAGATCTTGCTTTCTGCATGTCACCAGTTGGGCTCAAACAACCTCATGAAAATTCTCTACAGGTTTGGACGTTCTTACATCAACACATGTATACAGGAGCTATATATGTTATTAAATTTTAACTTGTTTTTCTCCTGCTACTCTGTCTGTGTCAATTTGATTATTAGACCCACCAGAAGGACTTAGAAGACTAAAGGAAATTTTTTCTTCCTGGGCAATAAGGAAGTTGTCATGCTAAATGATATACCTGAGTTATAAAAACAATTGAGGGTAAGTTAGTCTTATGGGTTGAGAGGTGTAGGCTTCCAGATATATGTATCGAATCTCTTTGAAAAATTAGAAATCTAGATTCATTTCTGGAATCAAAAAGCAAGACACTGTGAGTTAAGTTTTTTTCTCCTTTAAATATTTAAATTGAATGCTCATAGTCGGTGTATCATTCTCTCATCCCATCTACTGTTTAGAGGGGAACTTTCACGAGGGTGAAATCAAATGGGCAAGACCGAGAAGAGAAGAGTAGTGGAGATGGGAAGTTGAGTCATGTTGCTGCATGCCTGTTGCCATGGTGCGAGCTGAGGCTCTGGACCTCCATCTGAATTCAGGATCAGGCCCAGTGGATGGAGAGCGTGTATATAGGTTTGATATGATTTCAAATTCACAAATCCACTTGCTTATGATTTAAGTGAAGTTGTTTTAATCCACTTGTTTATGACAAAGAAAAAAAGTTGTTTTGATATAAGTAATTCATGCCAGGATGCCATCATTTTACATTTGTTATTGTGATAAGCAATCATAGATAAGAACACGTGGAGAAACAACTGTGGCAAGGGGACCTTTAGACTATAAACACTGAGAGTTTGTGAGGACTATTCAAGTTTCGATTTGGGCCAGGTGATTCCTCACTTACCCCCAAACTCTCTGAAGACATTCGGAGATATGGGGCATTCACTTCTGTCTCAAGGAGGCAGGCACTCCTTGCAATGGTGAAAGAGACTGGCCTGCCTCCCAACACTGGCATCTTCGTTTCCTAGCAAAATGCTCTAATAATGGGGACTTTTACATTTATGCTAGCAACTGGAAATCAGCCATAGGTTGAACACCGTATCTCCCAAGTGCCTACTGGTATAAAAAAGTTCACAAGAAGTAAAAATGAGATGGCACTCCATAGCACTATTGACCAGAGTACTGTGGGTGAAATATTACAAGATCACTTGCCAGATGACTGTAAAGAACCCCTGAGGATATTATACACTTTCCTCAGTGAAACTGAGCTGATGACAAGTGCAGCTTGATGTCTAGTGCTGCCAAACAAACATAGAAGTGGGGCATGGAACATGTTCATGATTCTTGAGCATTTCATCACTCTGTCTCATAGGACTGAGTCTATTTTAAATGCAGTAGCAAGAGTCAGAAGGGGACAGGGTGTCGGGCGACCACAGGCAGGGCAGGCAGCAAGTGCTTAAATGCCACACTAAAGAAAAGAAACTGCATAATTAGAATCATCGTCCCAACTAGCTCCCAGGTAAACAAAATGGAAAAGGCAAAGAACTCCAAACATCATCAGCCTTGACTGGCAATAGCTGCTGCTGTGCATTATGGAAAGGAAGGCAGGTCTTGTCAGCACCATCACCTGCACAGGTAACACCTATGTTAGCAGGACAATCTTTGGAAGAGGGAGACAATCTCATGTATGTGTACATATGTTAGTACGTGTGTATGTACCTATGTACCTGTCATGGAGGTGGTGTGTGAAATGGGTGGTGTTCATGTGTGTCTCTGATAGATGTCACCTCACAAGAAACTCAAGAGTTAGGTGGAAGGAGAGATGCTCTCTGCTGGGAGCAAGGGAGAGAGGTTTGCTGTCCTTGACTGACCTCTACTTCGTTGGTCCTAGACATTCCAGGCGAGCCCATGGGGACGCAGTGCCCCCCTGTGGTTGCCATGGTTCTTTCTAACTTTTCCCAGTTCCAAGCTCCCAACTTGTCTCCTGTTCTTTGTGATTCTCTGCAGTAGCTGCATAGGAAGGGCCGGATACCATGTCTGTGGTTCCTGCCCATCCTCAGGATCAGAGCTCAGAGGCTTGGAAGAGGTGAGATGTCTTCATAGAAGCCGAACCACAAACTCCCAATATTTGGGCTCCATTTCAGGCTTAGGACTCCTGTTTCTCTCTTCCTCTCATTCTCAAGGAACATGTTTCCCTGACTTTAGGGATAGAAGTCTAAAATAACTAAGAGAGTTCAATGGGAAGGAGAATAAAACTGAAGAATACAGTGACAAGAGCCTTGTGGCATCAGCTTGAAACCGTGGAATTCATGAAGGAATTTTAAAGGGTAATTCTCTTGAAAGTACACAAAGAGTGAAACTGTAGCAGGAGGACTGAGTGTTAAGCTTTAGAGCGCTCCTTGTGGAGTCCTTGCATGCTGGTTGTCGCCCTCCACCAAAGGCCACAGCTCTTAGTGGACGGCCCTCTCCAGTTTCAGGTAACTGCTCCTTCTCTTCAGCCCAGGTAACAGCATTGCTGTTACTGAGCCCCAGGCTGTTGCACCATGTTTGTTGCTCTGTCCTAACTCTGCCCACACCTTCTGCGCCCTCCCTTTATTAAACTTTCCTCAGTGATTCAGTGTGCTCTCTGCTTTTTCCTGAGACCTAACATATAAGATGGGAGGTACAGGTAAAGTAAAGGTGGGGAAGGTAAAGGTAAGGAGGAGAGAGTCTATATATTGAACTTTTCTTAGAATCACGGAAACATGAGTTTGAAGCCCAGCTAGCTATGTGATCAAGTTATTTAACTTTCCTGAGTGCATGACCCTGGACTTACAAGGGGGGATGACGTCTACCTGGCAGGTGCTCAATGAGGAAACTCTGTTATTATTATTACAACATACTAGGTGCTGTTCTGAGCATGTTACGTGTGAGTGCATTTAGTACTGAAGGGAAACAGAATAGGATGGTGCTTCAGGGAAATGATTTCCTGTGTCAGACATTTTACTTAGTTTTGCCTTTAGCTTGGCTTCTCACTGATCATCCCTGGGTGTGTAAGCTGGGCCTGTGAGGAGGTTTGCATATCTTAATTTGTAGGGAGGTGAATGGGATGGACAGAAGACAGAAATGAAATGAGAGATGAGAATGAAACTTAGGAAACTTCGCTCATGTTAAGGCCACTTGGACTTCTACATTGAAAATATTCGAAGGGGCAAACTGGTGAGGGTGTGTGAGCTCACAGGGCACACCTCTTTACCTGTTTCTCTACCAAGTCTGAGATATTCCTCATCAGGGGCTGGGCAGCAGTCATCTTTCTCCTCCTCACGTAGATAATGTTTTTGTATTTGTGCAGTTTTGAAGAAAAGCAACACATTGTAGCGGTTACTCAACTGTAAGACACATGGTCCAGTGGGGAGGGGCCAAAGGCATAGTGGCAGGTAGGGCAGGCAGAAGGAAAGCCACCATGTGGCAGCACCAAGTAATTACCCTCAGCATTTATCGGCACCTTTCTCCCTTTCCAAACACACTGCTTCTTTTTAAAAAATGATTATTTTATTTTTCAATTACAGTTGACACAATATTTTAGTTTCAGGTGTACAACATAGTTGTTAGACATTTATATAACTTACAAAGTGATCTCCCCATAAATCTAGTACCCATCTGACACCATACATAGTTACTACGATATTATTAACTATATTACCTATGCCGTACTTGACATCCCCAAAACATACTGCTTCTTAATCCCTCAGTGCAAGGCAGCTGGAAGGAGACGGGAGCTGGAAGAATAGTTGCGTCCCTGAGGCCACACAAGGCTCACTGTGAAAACAGGAACCAGATGGAAAAAGGCTCCATTCAGCCTGATCTCAAGAGTCTGTTGGACATGTTTCAGGTGGCTGATAATAGGTACTGGGAGTGGAGTGGGTGTGGTTAGTGTAGAAAAAAATGTAGCCCCTTCTTCTCTCTAAATGCTGGGGACTCTAGCTCAGTATCTCAATACTTGTGGGTAAGGTAGGAGCAGGTTGTGGGAATTTCAGCAAATGCTCTCATGTCTGGGGGACATGGCTGGAGCAGACGAAATAGCTGGGGGCCCTGAGCCCCAAAGGAAAGAACG